CAGACCAAGATCAACCTTATTCATGCGCATCACTTCAGGACCGTGACCTGTTAACACTGGAATCTGATATGGGACATTCAGAAAATAATGTGTGAACAGCCAAACAAAAAAAATAAGATCTGAGCAATAAAGGCTTGCAGTGTGAACATAGCCTTAGTGAGCGGAGGTAAAACTAATGGTTCAAAAACACTTAAATCGTGGCTCCAAATGGGAACTATTGGGAAAAGACCAGGAGTACCTCTTTTCCACCTAAGCAGCTCTGGTTCTTGAACTGGTTCTGTTCAGGATTCAACAACACAATTTCCTTTACATTATTTTTTCTTCAAACATGCTGATATCGGCTTACTGTGTGTATTTTTGAAGTTTTTCTTACATGCCTTAAAATCAAGAAGGCCTTGCGACCCCCCCATGAAGCTTTGGCGACCCCCAGGGTGGGAACCACTGTTCTAAGGTCACAAAAACACAACAATCTATATTCAGGTGATTATACACTAATGAAAACATACCTGTGAATCTTATATTTAATTTATGCCAACAGCTCCTCCTGAATGTTACACACTGGACCTTTAAATGCCAGTTTTAACCTGCTTTAACCGACTTCCAGTGGCCCTGACATGAATTAAACAGACAGTGGTGTAACGGGGGGTTTTCAGTCCACCTCTGTACTCGGTCAGCAGTGCGCGCAGCCGCGGCACAGAGCCCCGCCGCCGTGCACCGTGAACGCGCCTCTCCATGCGGTTTGAATAAAGAAGGAAAAGCAGCCCCAAAAAAAATCAGCTGATGATGAAAACACATGAAGCTGTTCCTGGAGCGGAGAGCAGACACCGGTTTGATTCGATCATCTGAACCCGGTTCCGGTGTCCAAAGGGGGTCCGGTATCTCCGCTCAGCACCTCCGCTCTTTGTCAGCCGGTTCACACACAGAGACCCGGGCGGGTTTAAGGTTTTTTTTTTCTCTCCTCTGAGTGAAGCGGCTCTACCGGAGAGAGACTGACTGGCTTTAACACGCTACGGACCCGGGAGTGTTTTAATGTGTGTGTGTGTGGAGGTTTTGTGTTGAATCGGAGCTGTTCGGGGTTATTTCCTGCTGGATTTAAGCATCTTTTGTTTGGAGGAAGAAGCGGCTGATGCTGCGGTTCATAGTGAAGTCACTCTGACGGAGGAGTCTTCTGAGCAGGTCTTTAATGAGCATTTATGAGCCTGGTAATTCTAGTGCATCCTAACGGGACTGTGGGAGTGTGGAAACAGCGCTGATGGGATTATTTCACCTTCATTTATTACTCATATTATTTTATTATTGATCATTATTGGCTCTGGGGAACGGCTGCAGGGTTCCGCCTGGTTTCCTCAGTCTTTTGTGTGGAATTGATCTGTCAGTCCTCGGACTCTGTTAGTCGGTTCCGGTCCTGTCCCGGGTGGTCCCGGTTTGTCCCGGGTTGAGAAGCACCATGCCGGAGTGCGTGTCCGTGTCCGAGTTCTTGCAGGAGGTTCAGGAGGACTGGAGCTCTCCCACCACCTCCTCCTTCACCTCCAAGATGATCAGCTGCAGGAACACCGTCTACCTGCTGGAGGAGGTCAGTACTGACACAGGAGGGTGGCAGCAGTAGTAGTTGTAGTAGATTACTAATGTACCATCCTTTTATTTGGGAGGTTTCATCAGCCTGATGAATGATGAATGAACCAGTTGTGTTACTCTACATTCAGGGCCTGACCGAGCTGCTGTGGGGCCCTGGTGCCAAATATGAGCTGCCCGGCCCCCATTACAGCTCTTCTAGATTAAAATACTGTAAAACTTAAATTAACAGCACAGGCTTGTATTTGCTTTGTTCACTGAATTCAACTTGCCTTTATTAGATACAGGCCTCTATATGGGACAGGCTTTTAATTCCTTTTGCACAAAACTCAGCAAAGATGGGAAATATAATCAAATTGTTTATTTAAACCAGTATAAATATTACTCGAATAACATATCAACTGCACAGTCATTCATTTGATACTTTGGTACTCGTGGTTTC